GTGGAGGGGTGTGGCCTGGGCAAAATCCATACAAATGCTATGATATGATGCTATGACATTTTCTGCGTATATGTTCAGATATTTTCTCTCATTCAGTTAATAATATATGCAGTCCTTGAAAGTTGCTGGAACCTAAATTAAATGTTGTCTGAACTAGCAAATTCTAGTCTATACAACCAATATGTAATATCCCTTTTTATGGCAGATGTGGCTTAATGACCGCAAGTTTTTACGAGTTATGTGTGAGTGGGAGCTGAGCTCTGAGGGGTCTGAGCTCCCAGCAGTGAAATCATACATCTGTGGGCATCGCCAATACAGTACTGACTACCAATATTTGAAGTATTGACTGCTTCCCAAGAACTGACCATTAGACTATTATCTATTCATCTCTGCCTCTTGTTACTTATTTTAGACAAAAACATGAATGTCAGCTGAACAAGAAAAACAACTGACCTTCTTTCAAATCATTCATTTTGCTTAAGAACCCGGATAAGTTACACAATAAAGGATAAAGGAACATCAGTTTTCACTGGTCAGTTCTAGCACACATAAAAGCACGTCATCATAACGTCATAACTTGTCTTCATAAATGGCCAAGGCAATAACAAATTCCCTCACAAGAAGTGAAAATGTTCATTAAAGGTCTGGGACACATTAACAGCATCACCATCATCATCACTTCAAACTCATAGGACAATACAGACACATCAGAGTGGCTGTAGAGATTGTGGAGTATGTAAGAGAGTAAACAATGCAAATCACTCGGTATGTTCAGAGCTGGAGGAGGTGAACTCAACGGACACAGACCACATGACACCTAGAAACACAAGGAACACACTGTGTGATTCAGCATTTAGAGAATACTTCTCCCTCTTTCTGACATTTCCTCTGCTGCCTATCTCTGCCTGTCTTTGCACATTGCAAATGTCATATGTCATATATCATATCAAATGTCACACTGCTAACTTGCAGATTCCTCAAACAAGTTTTTGTACATACCTGTACAGCTCTTCGCTTGTCTCTTTTATATTTGTATATATTGTCTCTATTGTTGTCTTTATTTATATTTTTCTGTTTAATTGTTATGCTTACCAACTTACCAAGGCACATTCCTTTGTACGTGAAAACTTATACAATAAACCAGATTCCGATTCTTAAGAAACTTTTAAGCCTCTTAAAAGTCCTCCTCCCTACTTCTAACGCTCTCTTAAGGGCTAAGATCCTTTGTGAATAACTTTTATTTTTTACCAGGATCTAGTCTTAACTGTGAGTGGGCTAGCTTTGGATTGAAAGGTCACTCTCAGTGAGTCTGTCCAGCGCAGCGCACCAAACTCAGATCAAACTGTCAAACTAGGCAGTGCTAATCAAATACGAAGCTAGATTCTGTTACTGCGTAGATTGTTTCTCGCTTAAAATCGTTTCAGAAACATATTTTAGTTCACTGTTTAGCTGTAATACGAGATTGTGTGTGACCAGGTGAGACGCCATTGTTTCTGGCTACGGATGAGTCAAAACTGCACAGCCAATGAGCGTAGATAAACTGGCAGTACCTCACGTCCACTGGCTCACGCTGGCTCTGTCTAACTGTCATGGTGGCGGTCAAAACGCCGCTTCAAATGTGACCATGTGCTACTTTGTGATTGACAATATATTGTCAGTACATCTATCCAGCACAAGATTACTCACGGTATGTCACCTACACTAGCTCTGACAAACCATCATGGTGACGACCATAATGCAAAACTCAAGGCCCACAAATCAATGGGTGACGTCACGATGGGCTTACTCTCGGTCTCAATCAGACGCAGGTCCCTTTTACTAGCCTGGTGGGGCTACACGTTTTGACAAATAAACACAGGTCTCAATTAGATGCCTGGTCTGGATTTTCATAGAAGTTCTTTGGATGTATTAAACCTCTTAAAACTCACTGGGTAGTGAGTTCTAAATAGCCTAATTGCCTACACAAATATAAATGTTTAAACCTTTAGCAATATGGACACGGTACACATCATAAGATCAGTTAGATTCTCCATGGTTAAATTGTTCAGAACCATAAGCACCAAAGTATCAAATGATCAAATGAATGACTCATAACTGATATGTTATTGAACTGCAGCTCTTGCACACCTTGAGAGGTCTAGTGGAGTCCAAGCCTCGACCGGTCAGGGCTGTTTTTGTGGTAAAGGGGGAGTGGAGTTCCTGAATGAGGCCAGAAAGTGCATCTTGTTTCTCTGATGCATCCTGCCTTAGTCATGCCATGAGAGCTATATTTGTTAATGGGAAAAACCCAGAATATATCAACAAGTAAGTAACGTGAACAACAAATGAAAATGCAAATGAAGCTAGTGCACAGTAACATGAAACAAAGTTCTGCGGCAGAAACTTGAAGTATAAACACTATATTAACAGTACTATTTTACCTGTTATACAGCAGTATATTCTGTACTGCAATGGTTTTAATCACATTAATTTTACCCTTTGATTATGAAATTATGAATTATGCATCATGAACATAGAGCATGTTTTTACAGTTTCCCAGAACGGGCAAACACTAGCTGTAGAGTTTGCAGCCACCGTAGTTTCTTCTACACACCTCACAGCCTGTTTTTATTGCCAGGTTGTCAAATACAGACGCAAGCAGTGTTCTATTAGTTACAATCTGCAACTTTACCACTGGATACCACTAAATCCTACACACTGGTCATTAAATACCACAACAACCCAAAACATTGGTTTGATACTTTTAAAATGTGCACTTATAATATTAGGCTATCAATACCAAATAAGATTATATGATGTTCTCGTGGCAAACAATTTTTTTTCTTTTAATATTATTTGAATTGTTTTGTTAAATGTTATATTTGTGTTCTCTCATTTCATCCATTTGTTTTTTTAATCAAACTATAGCGTTTGAAGTATGAGAAGTGCTATATACAAATTAACATATTAGTATTGTTATATTATTATTATTATTATTATACCACAATAAGACGACGGGATGAGGCATTCCATTAGATATCGTGCCAAGATGTTCACTGGAGAC